TTTTTATTCGCGTATAGGCTACCTGTAGAATTAAACCCCAGAACGGTTTAGCCATTCAACTATCCAACTGTTCTGCTGTGAGTCACTTTGGATAAACGTCCCCTCATTAGTAAAGAAGGATCAAGTTGGCATATTTAGGTCTGTCCTGGTTAGTGGTCTGTGCTCAGTCATGGCTGATTTAGGGTCTGAGTGGAATTTAAGTGGCGCTTGACGCTTCTGAAAAGCTCAGCATCTTAACATAGGCCTACTCCAGAGACGATCTCGGGTTTCACAAAGACTTCACTTGACCCTTGACTTGGGAATAAATGTTTTTTTTTTTTGCACTTTTGACCTAAATATAAACAATGTTTTTTTTGTTTTTTTTTAACTTACGCTATCGCAAAATGACAATAAACCACAATTACGCACGAGACCAAGCCATTTTTACTCACTTTACGTAGTTTTTTCTACGTTCATACCAAACACAGGTATATTCGTATACTGTAACTAAATGTAATTTAGCCTACGTGTATACACTCTCATCTCCCGCTGCTGTGGCGGCTATGCGCAATTAATCTGGTACCCGTGGGCGATCAAGCACCGGCGTTCATTGTTAGTCATGATGTTCAGCACAATGGTATAATGCATTAGCATAGGGTTACTGCGGTGAAAGAGAGAAAGAGAGGGAGGATCATGGAGTTCGCATTGCTTTAGTTAAAGGCAGATATAAAAGCACCCGCTTCTCCTCCCGCGCGCACCGTGCCATTGTCCTTGCGCCTCTGGGAGAGGATCTAATAGCTGCTTATGGAGGGAAGTGACATGAGCGTTATCACAAGAACCTCTGATTGTTATATTGCCCTCCAGATTGTTTGTTACCAACTGGGGAGACCATTGATTTTGATTTTATTTCAGGTAACACCCCAGTCAGGGGAGGGGTTCAGGGGGCAAGGGATGCATATCGTCCCAACCCCCCAAAATATCAAATGGTCAGTTTTACAATAAATATTGTAAAGAAATTGGTTGATTCTCATAGCAATGAATGTCGCAACATTCAGACTGTTATTGAACTAAACTGAATCACAATTGAACTAAATTAAGCTTCATAATGGCACTACACTCTAAAAAATGCTGGGTTGTTTCAACCCAATTTTGGGTCAAATATGGACTAACCCAACTGTTGGGTTAAATTTTGGTTACATTTTTAAATTAACTTTTTAACCCAACAGTTGGGTTAGTCCATATTTGACCCAAAATTGGGTTGAAACAACCCAGCATTTTTTAGAGTGTATTTAGAGCTGTTTTACACCTGAAATTGTAGAAAGAATTGAAAAGAACTTTGCAACATTAATATTGTTATTTTCTTGTTTATTACTATAAAGCTGCTGTAAAACAATCTGTATTGTATAAAGCGCTATACAAATGTGACACGACTTCGCATTAAATATTAGCATAAAGGTTAATAATAGTCTATAGCCCTAACAAGTCTTTTTTCCTTCCCTTTCCAGACTTTCTCAACCTGAGGCGGAAATATCGCAGACACAACTGTCCAAAGAAACGTTGTCTGCCTCTTCACTCCAGAGTGCCATTCCCTTGAGGTAAGACTTCACTTCACTGGCTATTTATTCCCTTTTATTACTCTAAGGAATGAGCAAATATTGAAAAAGAGCTATCAAAGAGGCGCATCATTAGGAAATCCAAATTCTGACATTCCATGCAAGTATTTGCAGACAAATAATTGCGAAATCCCTCAAATTACTTTTGTGACTCCTTGAGAACACACACCAAATCTTGCCTAACAAGTGCATGCACTTAATTTAAGAATATATTAACCTAGCAAATTTAAGAAGAATACATTTACATAACAAAAATATGTTCTAAGAATGTTTTCCGTTCAAAACATCCCATTTTTCAATGTTTAAAAATGGTTATGCGAACATTAGGGACAACATTAAGAGAATGATCCATTTAATCATTTTGCAATTATGGGAATGTTACTTTTGAATGGTCTCTGAATCATCTGAAACTAGTAAGTAGTAATGTTTAAAAAAAAAGTTAGACGAACATCCAACTAAAACTCCATATATTTTGTGCTAATGTTTTGAGAACATTATTAAAGACCAGATAATTTTGAATGAACATTCTAATAATGTTACTGGAAGAATGTTTGTTAACTTTGAGAGAACTGTGTTAGAATGTTCTGAGAACGTTCCCTGTTAGCTGAGCACCACTCCATTGTAATCTCTGGAGAAGGGACGGCCAGATTAATTAACAAACTGGCTGACGGATCTTCAGTGGCCTTAAGCCACAGCGGAAACAAACAGAGACTTTGGGTAAATACCCTGTACTAAATGAGCTGGGAAATTATTGGATCTTTATAGCCGTGCGACTTTCTCTCGGACCGGGAGTAAACACAAACACTCCACACCCACCCACACACACAAAAGAGTGGAAACCTACATAGCCCAAGCAGAGACACACAGACGGACGAGAAAAGCCCTACCCCCATAAATACAACCCATTTTAACTATCTGCCACACACACTGTAAAACTTGGGTGGGACGGCTAGTAATGCCAGTCCTCAGAAACACCTGGTGGCCATTTCAGTGAAGGGTGTACTACAGTTATGGAATGGTTTACCAATAGAACTGAAAAGATAAATTGTGTGATTATTAATAAATATCTTTTCCCATTCTATATTTGTGTTTTACAGTTTAGACCATTTGTTGGTTGTATTTCTTAGACTCTTAGTTAAAGCCTAACCAGGGACAAGTGTTGCAGATTAGCTATTCTGATGTAAAACAAAATAAAATATTCTGAAGAGAAAATACTATTCGAAGAGTATAAAAATGCACAACTACCACACAAAGGGGTCATAAGGTGAAAAAGAGGTGAATATAGTTTGTGTGTGTCATGGCTGCTGATGGGCCTTTTTGTTACTTGAAGAGCAAAACTCAAGGATACCAAGTCGCTTCTTACATAAAAATACTCAACAGTCAAAATTTGTGTTGTTGTTCCGTGTTGAAATGTGTGTGTGATGTGACACTGTATCTGTGGGGACACACATTCACTGTGACAGCCTACCGGAGCCGCCTACTGTTTTCAGACACTCTGGAGAGGTTGTCACCTTTAACCTTTACTCTATGACCCCCACACAATGAGCCAGAGCTAGTCTGGAGTTAACAAAACACACAAACAGATGCACACACACACACATATATATAGGAACAATGTCTAAAAGAAAAGCTGCACAAAGATCAAATCAAGAAAAATAAATATCTATTCCATAGGCCTGAATGATTGTGGATTGAAACTCTGTTTCTGTTTTCTTCAGGTTTCACAACTACTCAACTATCCACAACTATGATGTCTTGTCAAGCCTTAAGAAAACCAAAGACCAGTGATGGATGGGAAATGAGAGAGGAGTTTCATATCAAGACTCACCGAGGACTGTTCATTTGCCCGTATACTGTAACCAAGCCATGCTAGTCACTTCTGTAAAGGAAGTGTATTGTTTTATGAATGTTAAGTGAACAAGCCATGGGGACATCAACTGCAACCAAACATGCTGAAAACTCATCGCTCAATCAGTTTGAGTTTGCCAGAACCATTGTAAATAGTAAGAACTGATTGATATGTGTTTATATGTAAGTTATGCACTTCAAATGTTTTATTATTATCCTGATTAAATAAAAAGTGTATTGTCTTTTCACCTGGGCTTTGTGTGTCACAATCCTTGGGGGAGGCAGGGGGGCAAAGTGAATGAAAAGTGTTATACTGGGATCAATAGACTGCACGGTTTGACAATTGGTTTTGACAAATTGGGATTGTTCTCGTTTTGACTGACAGAATCTGAAAAAAAACCCCACTGTTCAGAAAGGTCAACATTCCTGATCCCAGATGGTGTATTTTTCAGCACGTTTTGCATATGTATTTTCCTTTTCTGTTGACTACTACTCTTAAAAACAGATTAAGAGTAAAAATGTTAAACACTTATACCCAAAATTTAACGAAAAAAAGAATGTGATATCATAGAGAGGACCTCTGAAGACCCTCATAACTGTCAACATAAGTGTCTTAAAATATAATTTTTCCTTTTATTAACTGTAAAATGTCAAGACGAGCAACCCTTTGAAATTATTTATATATAAAATAATTATAAAATATACTAACATTTGTGACAAAATATCTTGATGTCACACTGAAAGACCTTTCACTATCATGGAATGTCTAAAAAGTTAAAATGGTAAACTTTAAACTATTTTAAGTATTTAAATTAGTTATGTGTATACTTCCATGTATTTAAAGCAAATTTTAATTACTTTTTTTTACTTAGTTACACCACACACATCATTTTTGTTGAACATGGTATACACGTTTTCCAAAACCATACATAACTAATACACAAAAAGTATATTTCTAAGAACCTGATGCGTGTTTTAAACAACATTTCAAATCTATCATCTCATCTTTCTTTATCTTGAAACTTTTTTTAATCATCGAACCATGAGCACATTAAAAACTCGACCAACCTTATTCAATATAATCTGTGGAAATTTTATTCCAAAAAGAAGTTTCAATCATTTTATTCACATTATTTTACATAAAATTACAGTAGTTCACAACATCTGTAGCATCAGGACTAAAAAGGTCACGATTTGAGAACAGCTCCAAAACATACATACCACAAGAAACATCCGTCTGACACATTTCTTACACACAAAAACAGCACTGATCCACAAAGCCAAAAATAAAGTGATGCACTAAAGAAACCAAATTAAGTACTAATTAACTATCGCTGTACCAACGTATTAATGCTCTCACAGACATGAACAAGGAAAACCACAAGTTACATTATAAAGCTTTTAGTTTGATTAGATCTCACTATTCCCAACTCATAATGAGCATTTTTATTAAACATTTCTGCAGCAGAGGTTTTTGACTTCCTAATTGCAGCTATTGTCTACTCAGACTTGTCGTCATGGAAACGTGAGAGCGTTGTTAGAGAGGTTACCAGGGTTCGTTTCCCACCAAAGGCCTTCTGATCAGTGAGCCATGGCTGCCGATGCCAGTCAAGATAGACATGCTCACACACACTCGCACGCAAGGCTTCAAACCACATCATACGCACAAACAGACCTGAGTCACTCTCTCTGTTTGCATGTGTCAGCCTCTGATCTGCTGAGCGGTCAGCGCGAGGATCCTCCTGCTCAGAACACTGTTGTGCTGTTTCAGATAATCAATCAGGTCCGCCTGCTTTTCCACTACATCCTCCAGACTGGAGCCGTCCCTGTGAAATAAACCACAGAACACATGTGCACCTGTCTGACCCATCCACAGCACTTGGGATTGAAATGTGAGTGTGTGTGCTCCTATGAAAACACTAGTCACACAGAAAATACATTGTATTTAGGGATGCCCCAGTATGGCCTGTTTTGGCCAATACAGATAACCATATACTGGTCAGTATGAGAGAAAAAAAACTGTGGAAAATGGCTTTTTATTTTAAAAACAGGTGCAAGTACAGAAAACGATCTTATATTACAACTGTTTAACTAATCTAGGCCTACTATGAACCACTGGAATGAAGAAATTATACATGCCTATGGCACAAATATATAAAAAAAAAATCTTAAAGTTAACTTGAATAAATACAACAACAACAACAACAACAACAACAACAACAACAACAACAACAACAACAACAACAACAACAACAACAACAACAACAACAACAACAACAACAACAACAACAACAACAACAACAACAACAACAACAACAACAACAAACAAAAAAACAATGCCTGTGTGACAAAAAAGATGACAGGCTCTGAGTAAACATTACATTTTTGTTATTTTAATTTTGAAAATATTCATTATTCATTCATCTTCAGTGTCACATGATCCCTCATAAATTCTTCAACTCTGCTAATTTGGTGTCAAGAAATGCACATCAAAAGAAAGGAAATTATTTGATACTATTTTTTGTAATAAAGTCACTTTTGATCAATTTAATGCATCATTGCCGAAGTATTTAAAAAAAAAAAAAAAAAAAAAAAAAAAATTAACGGCCCCCAAATTATGCAAGTATTTGCAGACAAATAATTGCGAAATCCCTCAAATTACTTTTGTGACTCCTTGAGAACACACACCAAATCTTGCCTAACAAGTGCATGCACTTAATTTAAGAATATATTAACCTAGCAAATTTAAGAAGAATACATTTACATAACAAAAATATGTTCTAAGAATGTTTTCCGTTCAAAACATCCCATTTTTCAATGTTTAAAAATGGTTATGCGAACATTAGGGACAACATTAAGAGAATGATCCATTTAATCATTTTGCAATTATGGGAATGTTACTTTTGAATGGTCTCTGAATCATCTGAAACTAGTAAGTAGTAATGTTTAAAAAAAAAGTTAGACGAACATCCAACTAAAACTCCATATATTTTGTGCTAATGTTTTGAGAACATTATTAAAGACCAGATAATTTTGAATGAACATTCTAATAATGTTACTGGAAGAATGTTTGTTAACTTTGAGAGAACTGTGTTAGAATGTTCTGAGAACGTTCCCTGTTAGCTGAGCACCACTCCATTGTAATCTCTGGAGAAGGGACGGCCAGATTAATTAACAAACTGGCTGACGGATCTTCAGTGGCCTTAAGCCACAGCGGAAACAAACAGAGACTTTGGGTAAATACCCTGTACTAAATGAGCTGGGAAATTATTGGATCTTTATAGCCGTGCGACTTTCTCTCGGACCGGGAGTAAACACAAACACTCCACACCCACCCACACACACAAAAGAGTGGAAACCTACATAGCCCAAGCAGAGACACACAGACGGACGAGAAAAGCCCTACCCCCATAAATACAACCCATTTTAACTATCTGCCACACACACTGTAAAACTTGGGTGGGACGGCTAGTAATGCCAGTCCTCAGAAACACCTGGTGGCCATTTCAGTGAAGGGTGTACTACAGTTATGGAATGGTTTACCAATAGAACTGAAAAGATAAATTGTGTGATTATTAATAAATATCTTTTCCCATTCTATATTTGTGTTTTACAGTTTAGACCATTTGTTGGTTGTATTTCTTAGACTCTTAGTTAAAGCCTAACCAGGGACAAGTGTTGCAGATTAGCTATTCTGATGTAAAACAAAATAAAATATTCTGAAGAGAAAATACTATTCGAAGAGTATAAAAATGCACAACTACCACACAAAGGGGTCATAAGGTGAAAAAGAGGTGAATATAGTTTGTGTGTGTCATGGCTGCTGATGGGCCTTTTTGTTACTTGAAGAGCAAAACTCAAGGATACCAAGTCGCTTCTTACATAAAAATACTCAACAGTCAAAATTTGTGTTGTTGTTCCGTGTTGAAATGTGTGTGTGATGTGACACTGTATCTGTGGGGACACACATTCACTGTGACAGCCTACCGGAGCCGCCTACTGTTTTCAGACACTCTGGAGAGGTTGTCACCTTTAACCTTTACTCTATGACCCCCACACAATGAGCCAGAGCTAGTCTGGAGTTAACAAAACACACAAACAGATGCACACACACACACATATATATAGGAACAATGTCTAAAAGAAAAGCTGCACAAAGATCAAATCAAGAAAAATAAATATCTATTCCATAGGCCTGAATGATTGTGGATTGAAACTCTGTTTCTGTTTTCTTCAGGTTTCACAACTACTCAACTATCCACAACTATGATGTCTTGTCAAGCCTTAAGAAAACCAAAGACCAGTGATGGATGGGAAATGAGAGAGGAGTTTCATATCAAGACTCACCGAGGACTGTTCATTTGCCCGTATACTGTAACCAAGCCATGCTAGTCACTTCTGTAAAGGAAGTGTATTGTTTTATGAATGTTAAGTGAACAAGCCATGGGGACATCAACTGCAACCAAACATGCTGAAAACTCATCGCTCAATCAGTTTGAGTTTGCCAGAACCATTGTAAATAGTAAGAACTGATTGATATGTGTTTATATGTAAGTTATGCACTTCAAATGTTTTATTATTATCCTGATTAAATAAAAAGTGTATTGTCTTTTCACCTGGGCTTTGTGTGTCACAATCCTTGGGGGAGGCAGGGGGGCAAAGTGAATGAAAAGTGTTATACTGGGATCAATAGACTGCACGGTTTGACAATTGGTTTTGACAAATTGGGATTGTTCTCGTTTTGACTGACAGAATCTGAAAAAAAACCCCACTGTTCAGAAAGGTCAACATTCCTGATCCCAGATGGTGTATTTTTCAGCACGTTTTGCATATGTATTTTCCTTTTCTGTTGACTACTACTCTTAAAAACAGATTAAGAGTAAAAATGTTAAACACTTATACCCAAAATTTAACGAAAAAAAGAATGTGATATCATAGAGAGGACCTCTGAAGACCCTCATAACTGTCAACATAAGTGTCTTAAAATATAATTTTTCCTTTTATTAACTGTAAAATGTCAAGACGAGCAACCCTTTGAAATTATTTATATATAAAATAATTATAAAATATACTAACATTTGTGACAAAATATCTTGATGTCACACTGAAAGACCTTTCACTATCATGGAATGTCTAAAAAGTTAAAATGGTAAACTTTAAACTATTTTAAGTATTTAAATTAGTTATGTGTATACTTCCATGTATTTAAAGCAAATTTTAATTACTTTTTTTTACTTAGTTACACCACACACATCATTTTTGTTGAACATGGTATACACGTTTTCCAAAACCATACATAACTAATACACAAAAAGTATATTTCTAAGAACCTGATGCGTGTTTTAAACAACATTTCAAATCTATCATCTCATCTTTCTTTATCTTGAAACTTTTTTTAATCATCGAACCATGAGCACATTAAAAACTCGACCAACCTTATTCAATATAATCTGTGGAAATTTTATTCCAAAAAGAAGTTTCAATCATTTTATTCACATTATTTTACATAAAATTACAGTAGTTCACAACATCTGTAGCATCAGGACTAAAAAGGTCACGATTTGAGAACAGCTCCAAAACATACATACCACAAGAAACATCCGTCTGACACATTTCTTACACACAAAAACAGCACTGATCCACAAAGCCAAAAATAAAGTGATGCACTAAAGAAACCAAATTAAGTACTAATTAACTATCGCTGTACCAACGTATTAATGCTCTCACAGACATGAACAAGGAAAACCACAAGTTACATTATAAAGCTTTTAGTTTGATTAGATCTCACTATTCCCAACTCATAATGAGCATTTTTATTAAACATTTCTGCAGCAGAGGTTTTTGACTTCCTAATTGCAGCTATTGTCTACTCAGACTTGTCGTCATGGAAACGTGAGAGCGTTGTTAGAGAGGTTACCAGGGTTCGTTTCCCACCAAAGGCCTTCTGATCAGTGAGCCATGGCTGCCGATGCCAGTCAAGATAGACATGCTCACACACACTCGCACGCAAGGCTTCAAACCACATCATACGCACAAACAGACCTGAGTCACTCTCTCTGTTTGCATGTGTCAGCCTCTGATCTGCTGAGCGGTCAGCGCGAGGATCCTCCTGCTCAGAACACTGTTGTGCTGTTTCAGATAATCAATCAGGTCCGCCTGCTTTTCCACTACATCCTCCAGACTGGAGCCGTCCCTGTGAAATAAACCACAGAACACATGTGCACCTGTCTGACCCATCCACAGCACTTGGGATTGAAATGTGAGTGTGTGTGCTCCTATGAAAACACTAGTCACACAGAAAATACATTGTATTTAGGGATGCCCCAGTATGGCCTGTTTTGGCCAATACAGATAACCATATACTGGTCAGTATGAGAGAAAAAAAACTGTGGAAAATGGCTTTTTATTTTAAAAACAGGTGCAAGTACAGAAAACGATCTTATATTACAACTGTTTAACTAATCTAGGCCTACTATGAACCACTGGAATGAAGAAATTATACATGCCTATGGCACAAATATATAAAAAAAAAATCTTAAAGTTAACTTGAATAAATACAACAACAACAACAACAACAACAACAAACAAAAAAACAATGCCTGTGTGACAAAAAAGATGACAGGCTCTGAGTAAACATTACATTTTTGTTATTTTAATTTTGAAAATATTCATTATTCATTCATCTTCAGTGTCACATGATCCCTCATAAATTCTTCAACTCTGCTAATTTGGTGTCAAGAAATGCACATCAAAAGAAAGGAAATTATTTGATACTATTTTTTGTAATAAAGTCACTTTTGATCAATTTAATGCATCATTGCCGAAGTATTTAAAAAAAAAAAAAAAAAAAAAAAAAAAATTAACGGCCCCCAAATT